GGGCGGGGAGAGGGCTCCGCGCCCCCGTGGTGGCTGGCTGCGGCCTAACAGCTAACGGTGCCCCCTCCCTTCTCCTTCCAGCCTTCAGGGCGTGCCGGTGGCTTACGACAACGTCAGAGTGGTGGGGGAGCTCGGGGACATTTACGACGACCAAGGATTCATCCACCTGAACATCGAGGCCGACTTCATCATCTTCAGCCCCAAGAAAGGGAAAAAACTGGTGGTAGGTAAACGCGTTGACATCCTACGGGGCATTTTTTAATTAAGCAACCGAAGCTTGGCTTATCCCCATCATCATCAGAGATCTTGTGTTTTAGTTTATATTAGTAGCTTATTCGTGTACGAGTAGTTTACAGTTGTTTATTAACAGTTTGTAGCAGTTTTTATTATCATCTGCCTGTACTATCAGTTCCTATCGTTGTTAAATTAATATATAATTAAAATATTGTTTCAGATTACATATTATTAAATATTATATCATAATTTCGTATATCATTTATATGGATGCTTCTTTCTGAAGAGCGGGTACTTCTCAAACAGATGTGTTTGTTCTTATTTAATAGTGGCAGGAATGTTTAGGATGTTCTCACGAGTTTTCCTTCAAGTACAAGAGCAGTACATCGGGTTGAAGCCTGCCTTTCAGTAAAAGGAAATGTATAGCTCACATAATAGCTTTAAGCTTTTTAACACCCTTGCTTCAGTACCTGTGGGAAAAGTAAGTTGAGAGTTGGCTTACACTAGTTGTTGTGCCACGCCTTCTGCAGCGTAGCTTTGTGTCTTTATTAATGTGGTAAGAAATATATGTGACCTTTTGTTAGGAAGATAATTAAAAAAATCATTGTGGGGAAACAGAGGTGAATAATGTTTGACATGCAAATGTGACGGAAACCCACTGAACGGAGCACTTGAATGCTTTTTATATGTTGCCTGTGTCTTTACCTGTTAAGTAGTGCTGTGTCAGCATGAAGGCCGTTTTTAGGCAAGTAAATCAAACTTGAAATGGCTTTAAAGCAAAGCTGATGGCTGTAGTGTGAGGAAAGAGTTACCTGTTCTATTCAAGTACTCACTGTGGCTAAACCCCATTGTCTGACTTTCTTTTGCAGATACAGGTTCAGTCCCAGAGAGCGTATAGGAATAGCTTTGATTTTGGTGAGGAAGAGTTAGCTTCCTTGCTAGATAAATTGGCTTCATAACTTGTGCATAAAGTTGAAAAGTGGCCATATAGGAAGCTAAATATATATTGTGTATATTTAAAGGGTTGATCTTACTGTAACTTCATATGACATTTTTCTTTTTTAGGGTATAATTAATAAAGTGGCCCCTAGTCACATTGGCTGCCTGATACATGGATGCTTCAATGCTTCTATCCCTAAACCTGAACAAATGTCTATTGTACAGTGGCAAGAGCTGGGGTTAAAAATAGGGGATGAATTGAAATTTCAAGTGTTGCACTTGGATTCTGATGCAGCTGGGGTGTTCTTTATTCGAGGAGGACTCACCAAAAGCAGGTAATTGTGCCCTACTATAGAATATTTTAAACTGTTTTAATGGGTTTGTTAAAAGCTAAATGATTTGACTTAACATCTTACTCCTTTAAAGCTTTCTTATTTTGTCCCAAACCCATGTCTATACGTAGTCCTTGTTAGTTCTCTTCAGCTAAACTTTCTATTGTTGAGGACTTGCATGGAAGTTTTCTCTGGAAAAATGGATTGGGTTTTTTTGAGCTTTAAAAGTTTGAGTGTGCTGACCTGTGAACTGTCGATTGCATAAATAATACATGTTCAGAATAGCACACCCAAATGTCTAGAGCAGCTGTGTTTATGAATGTGCATAGTCTTTTCAGGTGAACAAGTGTCCAGTTCTTGAACACAGTGTGTGTTTACACACACATGCACACATAACCACAAATAGTTATGTGTGGATGGCTTAAATGCTTGCTGAAACATAACTATCAAAGATGATAGAAAAAAAGGCATCGCCGTTCTCCTTCCACTTAAGCCTCTGTGAATTTTTAGAGCAGCTTGCTAAAAATCTTAATAGTGGTGTCTTTAAAAGAGTTCAGATTTTTTCTTTTCAGATGGTCATTTGCTGAGCAGTTGTTTTTTTTTTTTTACCAGCATGGTTATGTTTTTAATTAAATGTAGAGTATGACTACTACTGACAAAATCATAACTTTTTTCTTTTTTGGTTTTTCTTTTTTAATCTGGAAGGATGCTCTGGATTGTTTCAGTGAAATTACAATGAAACTTCACAGTTTTCCTCTGAGCCTCAGAGCCTCTGGGGACATCTCCTCCTCCATGGTTTTTAAATGCATTCTTTCCATATTTGTCTTTATAGGCATTTTCTCCAGTGTTCTCAGTTGCAAGGTACCTGTTGGGTTTTTAATTTTGTTTCAGTTTTTGTTGTTTTTTTTTTTTTTTTCTTTTTTTGACTTGTCTGGCATCACCTTTGTTTTAAGTGTATAGCCTTCAGCAAGCTAATTACTTGGTAAAACTGGCAGTGTGTCTTGTATGATTGAACAGGCTGTTAGCTGTGCGTGTTTGTGAATAACTTAAAAAAAGCTTTACTACACAATATATAATTATGAATTAGCAGGAGTACAAGAAAAGAGGGAATATCAAGATGGTCTGTACAGCATTTTAGAGAAGAAATTTAGGCTAAGATTTGAAAGAGAATATTGATTGTGTGGTAGGAGGGAAGCTAGTTGGGTATTACCCTGAAAGTATTATGCTGGCTTTATAATTTTCTGTAACTAGAGTATCATGTTCTCCATTTGTTTAGCAAACGCTTATCTTTTATCTACTTGATGTAAATACCATGTTCTAGCAATTTTTGACATTTCATTGTGTGAGGTGCACTTAGATGTCTCTACTTCACCTTATTTTGTATGTTTCTTTACAGCATGAAGCCCAAACAATCTAAGACTGTCACTGGCAGTACAAATGGAGATGAAATTCAAAAGCTTGACCACCAGGGAAATGGCTTGAATGACTCTGGGGGAGATAATGTCACAGAGGAGCCTCTAGGTGAGATGGGTAACACTGGGACAGAAGATGCAGAACAGCAAAGTGTTGATGCTGTGGATCGATTATATGATGATAAAAACAAAAAGAAGAAGAAAAAGAAAAAGCAGAAGCAAGAAGAACAGGAACATATATTGCCTACCAGTGACTCCAGTGGTTACCAAAGTGACCATAAAAAGTCAAAGAAAAAGAAAAGAAAGCATTGTGATGAAGCTGAGGAAAGTGAATTATCTCAGCTGTCACAAGAACCCAAAGTTAAAAAGAAAAGGGACTAAATTCTGAAGTGCCTTTCCTGAATAAGATTTCAGATGTCTTTCATGAGCTTTCAATAAAATCCTGTTTTGAAAATGCATGTGTATATTTCTTACTAAACAATCTACTCTGCTAGGTGGGATGTTTGTGTGCATATGTGCACCAAGAGGTTTAAAGGCAGGAGCTTTTAAAGAAGTGATAGAAGAAATGGGATAGAAGCAGTATCTGCCTGTTTTATTTACTGGAAAGGCACAGAACAGTGGAACATAATTTCAAGAACACATGCATCACCTCTGTGTCTGCTTCCCAGTTCCATGCATTAACCAGTAGCTAGTTACAATCTTTGCTATTCTGATGCGGCTCTTTGTCTTGATTTTGTGAGAGTGGATTAGGTTTATCTTTGTGGTTCTGGAAAACACACCTGAATTTCCAGGGGCTGAGATTTTTTCTTTTTAATTGTAGTAAGGGGCCATCAATGCCTGTGAATGCTTAACATTTAAGTCAGGCTGCAGAGTTTCAAACTCGAGTGTCTTGGTTCTTTCAAAACACCTATGGCAGTAGTCTAGGAAAACAGTGTGGTCACTTGAGTCAGAGCCAGTAGGGAAGACAGGAGATTAATGTGATCAGTGTACTGAAGTACACCTTATGGGTTAGAATGCCACTGAGATATACACGCTGATAAAGTGGTTGGCAGTGGAGCATACTTCAATAAAGTTCATTTCTACGCATCAATTTCATTGACTTCACAGTTTTCTTTTTAAAAAAAAACACGCTAATGTGCTACTCCCAACTTTTTGTACTAGCTGTAACTTTCAAACACTGCTGTCTAGAATAGCAGGTACCTACTGTCAGTATTTTCCAAACTGTTGGAATTAGTGAAAATTTTGACAATGGGAGTATGACAGTCAAACATTAACAAATGTGCCTTTATGAAGAACTAATTTTCCTGGTGTACCTCTGTGATAAGTTTTGAAATATCGATACTTGTGGTTGCAGCTCTTTTCTGTTGTGAAAAGTTCTGGGGAGAACTGTGGTGTGATATAGTCTAGGGTCAGTCTTTAATAGGTAGGGGGCAATGATTACTTTAGTATTGATTTACATATTGCAAGAAGATGACCAGCTCTTTGGAAACCTTGTAAGTGAACAGCATGTATGTGGAAACTTGCTGTTCATCTGTCCTTAGGTGACAAAACCATTTTGCTCTACTAATTAGGCTGATGCTATTAGCTCACTTTACTAGATTTATATCCATTTACACTGAACATGTTCTGAGTTTAAAGTGTGATAATACTTGTTTTAGGACTCACCTCGTGCTATGTTTTTTATGTATCTAAAGCTCTAAACCAAGACAAATCTCGGGTTTTGTCTCCCAGGCTTGATGGCATGGCAGTATATTCCAGGCATATTAAAGTTATAATACCACAAGGAACTAAGTTAAGAGTTGTTGAAGACCTATAAGGTGAGCTTAAATAGCTGTTTAAGGGCAGCAGAACCTTCACTATATTGTCTTCTGCTTGCTCTTAAGCGTACTTGATCTTGAAACCAGTTTCTGGACAGTCTGAAATGAATATGAATTGTTCCCATTTTGTTCTGTGTGCTGGTTTTGGCTGATATGCAGTTAATTTTCTTCATAGTAGCCAGTATGGGGCTATGCTTTGGATATGTACTGAAAACAGTGTTGATAATAACAGAGATGTTTTCACTGTTGCTGAGCAGTGCTGTCATAGAGCCCAGGCCTTTCCTGCTCCTTACACCACCCCACCAGTGAGAAGGCTGGGAGGGCACAAGAAGTTGGGAGGGGACACAGTCAGGACAGCTGACCCCACCTGACCAAAGGGACATCCCATACCATATGACATCATGCTCAGCAATAAAAAGTTGGGGGAAGAAGGAGGAAGAAGAGGGGGACATTTAGAGTGATGGCGTTTGTCTTCCAAAGTGTCACTGTTGCCCGTGATGGAGCCCTGCTCTCCTGGAGATGGCTGAGCACCTGCCTACCCATGAGGAGTGAATGAATTCCTTGTTTTGCTTTGCTTGCATGTGCAGCTTTTGCTTTGCTTATTAAACTGTCATTATCTCAACCCATGAATTTTCTCACTTTTACCCTTCCAATTCTCTCCATCCCACAGGGCAGGTGGGGAAAGTGAGCAAGCAGCTGTAGGCGACTTAGTTGCTGGCTGGAGTTAAACCATGATGTTCTACATGTAACAGTGCTGAAACCTGAAGTACATGCAATGTCATGAATACTGTCTTGTCTGTCCATTCTTCCTGTACTGTGACAAAACCTGAGAAGTCAGATAATCTTTGTAATGTGTTTGTTACAGCACACTACAAGGTCAACTGAGAGCAGTATCTGGTATGTTAATTGTTGCAGAGAGTAAACCAAAAAGTCCTACTCTAACATGCTTACAATTTAAATGCATGGGACAGGTGGAAGGTTGGGACAATTTAGAGTCAGAAATTCTGTTTTCCACCCCCATGCCCCACCCCACCCCCTTTTATTGTAAATGCATTTGATATACAGGGAAGTAGTTAGATGGATAGGTATAGAGGATGTATCAGAGAGGAGGACTGCAAGTGCAGATATTTTTTTTTGTTGATGCCTATGGGAAGAGAAGGATGGAGGCAGTAGCTATTGCAAATGAACCAAGGAGTCATATTACTTCATCTATTAGTCCTTAATAATCATTATAGCTCACTTTCCCTTTTAGGGAAGGGAAAAAGTCTGCAGCAGAACCAGTGTTGGTAACTGTGGCATGAGACAAGCTCCACCAGTTCACAGAAGCAGCCTATAGCACTAAGAGTTTGTCTTGATCTGTTCCAGCTTTTCATCAGCCTGGAGAGGAGGGAGACTTTGGGGGAGGAGGAGAACTGAAGTTACAACTAATCAATCAAGTAACATAGCAAAAATACTTTCAGCACTTTAAATGCTATTTTTCCATTTTTGTTTCATTGCCATTCTCTTACTGAAAGAGAATTGCCTACTGTAATTTAACAAACAGCAAACTTGCTTTTTGAGGGTATTAAGCAACTTTTGTGAAAGCTTAATATAATCTGTCTGTTTTGGGCCTTATTTAAAAGCAGGAATTTTTTGGCACACAACTGTGGCCAGCACCCTCTTGTATCATGTTTTGGTTTTCTTTCTTGGCTTTACAGCAGAAGAAAGCATTAAAAATTAAATTAAATGCAGGAGCTGGCAATTCACAATTGAACAAGTTGTGGCTCCAGTGTTGCGAATACCATAGCATGTTGCACTAAATTCTTGATAGGTTAATATGCAAATAGCAGCTGTGCTACAAAATAAAATTGTAGATTCCTTTGTCTGACAAATCCTTTGTCTGACAGTTGTACAAAGCAGTTGGCTGTTTTCTGATGTTTTGTGTCTTTGGAAGGGAAGAAGTGAAGAAAAGACTTAAAAAAAATACTTTCCACAGTTGGAGCAAGTATTGGCAGCCTCACAGCTTGCACTGTTGATGTTGCTGTAGACACTGTTTCGGCATTAGCTAAATATGGCAAGAAAACTTGGATTTTCAAACTTGAATTGCCACTCTATTCATGACTTTAAATCACTTCTCTTTGGTTTTTTTTCTCCTTAAAAAAAAAAAAAAAAAAAAAAATTCCAATGCTTGAAATTAACAAAGGAAAGAAGCCAAACTTGACACTTTCCATAAAAGTTTCTATGAAGTTTGTTCATTATAAATGTTTAGCTTTCTGTGTTCCCCTGGACTACAAATGAAGACTTGTACTGAATTTTGAGTTGAGCTGAGATTTTTGAGTGTAGAGAACAAACAAAGCCTCCAGAGAGGCCATGTGACATCATACTTGTTTGAACGGCCCTTCTGTTTTGTTTTTGGTTTTTTTCAGAGTGCTTTCTAGTATAACTCACTTCTGTCACATAGCAAAGATAAGGTTAGAAAGTAAAAATGTGTTTTGTCCTATAACTATATAGATAGTTACAAGGGAACTATCAGGTGATCTAGAGAAAACATATGCTGGGTTTTTTCCTATTTTAACATTAGGTAGGCAACAAAGCCAATATTCGCTTCTGTCTGTGGTTGACAATCCTTTGTCTGTGTTATGAAAAATGTAGTTCCAACTTAACCAGCTATAATAAGTTTCTAAAGCAGGGACTGCTTCTTAGTAGTATTATAAATATTTTGATTCTGCGAACATGTTTCTCAGTGTATGCATGCCTTTGGCAGAAGAGCAAGTGCTCTTAGAGGAAAGTATTTTTAGCTCTCATTAAAACAATTGTTTTGTACTCTCTGAAGCTTACAGTGATCTACAATGTTAACTTTTGCTCTCGTCTTTTCCTTAATTCTCTTAAAAAGAACTTGTTTGCTTTTGACTTGGCACTTTTTTTTTTTTTTCCTGATTAAAATATGCAGCTCAAACAGCCCGGTGGATGAGCTCTAGCGAAAGGATTCTTTAAAGGCCCTTAGGTAGCTGTCTTTTGAAAAACATGAGCCTTGACCAAATCTTCCTCTGAATAAGCAGTTTGCCTTTGGAAGTATCCCAACCTTTGATAGCCCTCAGACAGTACAGAGCTTTTCTGTAAAAAGGATGGGGGGGGTAGTTACATACCCAAACTGTTGGAGTTGTATTTTTTTCCATATACCTATGAAGAGATTATGTATTGTGTGATGCTCTCAGGATAGTTAAGGCTGGCTATGAAAGGACTGAAATAGTTTAATTCAAATAAGGCATATATTTTTCTTACTATAATGTTGATTCTCTTCTGCTATTTACCTTTCAGAAATTCTGTCATTACAATAAAGCCGGAAGGACTTCAGTATCCAGTAGACTTAGTTTATTGATAGGAAGAAGATACTTTGTCTTCTGGGTTCATGTAAACAAAAATAAGACTCTGAAAATCAGACTTCACGCTTCTCCAATATTGCCAGTAAATAAGTCTTTTACAGACACAGATCATGATTTTTATGTCCTTCATCATGACTTTACACATAACTAAGTTGGAGCTGGGTTAAATTCGGCTGTAGCAAGGTATTCAGCTGACCCGATGTTAAGCAATTAGGAGCAACTGTGGCCTGACAATGGATTCAAGTTCCTTTGGAGCCAACAGTCCCAGGTA